AAAAAAAAATGCAGTTTTGTGTGAACTATTCCTTTAACATAAATTACAAGCTGCATCATAAAGGTAAATGTCTGTTTCTTGAGTTTATAAAAGGTAGGGTGAATATGTTCAAGCATACATATCCATGTCATATGTTGCATTCTCTGATATCCAGGCATTCTGGGTACTTGGGTAGCACCAGCGGTTCCTGCCGCTCCAAGTCCTACCACAACATGGCCTACAAGCCGTGTACAAGGTATGCCGAAAACTCCGATCCGCTGTTTCGGAAGACCCTTCGGCCCATGCACACCGAGCCCGCCGTAATCACGGCTCAGAGCTACGTGGGCCACCGGGCACATTCGACACGTTACGTCATCATCAACGAACACGAAGCTCGCAAGAAGCTCATGCGCTCAAATACACGCATACCGAGACATTACCGCCTCGCGGACGAACCAACGGAGATCGTAGAGCTTTATCCACGTAACGTGAAGTGTTACATTCCTCGTCCTCCTCACCGAAGCCACCAGCCACACCTCAGCGAGGAAGAGGAGGAGGAAGATCCGAAGAGCAGCACGAGGAGGGGGTCGTTCAGACAGTCGAAACGTCCACGACCACTGTCAGATCTCCATCAGACCGCGGGATTCTACATTGGCGATACAATAAACAGTCAGTTGTCTATGGAGCAGGGTTTATACAGCGACGAAGAAGAGGGCGATCAGGAAGAAGACTGGGTGAACGACCCTCAGACAAACATCCGAGGTCCAGAGTCGGCTCACAGGTACGGCGAACCATACGTCAAGCCCAAGACCAAGCATAAAGTGGAGCCGTCTCTGACCGAGTCGGATTCGGCATCGCTGGCGTCCAGTAGTGACCAACAAAACAGCAGCACGGACCAGTACATCCAGGTCATTCACAACAAAAAGAAGTACCTGAAGTCCAACGCCAAGCTGACCAAAACGAAATCCAAGAGCAGTGTTAAACTCAATGTGTCTGGCACTAATGATCTTGTCTGCTCCAACGTTTAACCTGTTTAGAGCTAAAACCGAGATTATGGCTCTGCTCGAAAACACTGGTAAGCTTTCTACGTAGGAAGCATTTTAGGTGTACACCAACACCAAGTGCGTTTCATGAGGTAGGTTGCAGCATTATCCTGCCTTCTAAAGGCTGGAATACATTAGACAACTTTTAAAATCGGAACAGATTTTAAAACACTAGGCATCTGATGACTTTTAAGTTGTTCCTAGTCGTTGCTAGGAGACATGTGACAAATGAAAACAATATGTGTTCTAAAATCGGCTCAACATATCAAACACTTTTGATATCCTCCAGCTGGATAAAAGCAGTCAGTGACCATTACGCAATTTTCTGTGAACTCTGACTGCTCAAAATCTACAGAATGACTCTGATTTTTGGCAACTATGGTCAACTTGTCTAGACTGCAAATTGGGGCAAAATTCTGGGCAAAAGTCCCGTAGTGTATTCCAGCCTTGAAAGGCCTTCTTCTGGCCAAATTGTAATGCAGCTTCATATGCATCCTTTACCAGAATGCACCATGAGTAATTCAGCATTCCAAACAACTTGAATTCTCCCATAGACATGTATACATAGATGCCTTGTTAGTGGCTATTTCTATGGGCCACTATATGTAACTCACCTCCATATTGGTGGGGTCAAAGCCGGACCATGAACACTTGAGAGCAAGTTGACTGTGCGTCTGCAACTGTTGTTATACGCATATGAAGCCATTAGCTAACACAACATAAAAAAACTTACCATAGTTTAAAAACCTGTAATATTGATTTAATACATTTTAAAAGCACAAACCAACACATTCTCACCTGTAAAAGTGTATCCCATTTCTTTGGGAATTAAAATGTTGGTGGTTTTTACAACCAGAGGCTGCACAATGTTGTGGCATCTTGGAAAACTCATTGATTTCTATTGTAAGTGATGACACATTGACCATTCCAAGATGGCGGACGCATCGACGTGTCTGGAGCGGCCGAATGTGGAATCTACCTATACATATCTATGAGATTCCCCCACTTCTACTTAAAAATAACCACTTGAATGGTGCTCGAGGTTGGATATCCAACTCATTCAGAGCAGATCAATCAACCCCCGATTCAAGGAGAAGCAAAGTTTTCAAGTTGATGGCAACTAAAGTTGATGTTCCACTGGTTATTTTAAGTGGAGGTGAGGCAAGTTGTTTGGAACACATCATGACTAGAAAATGTTGACGCCGCAAATGGGGAACTTGAGTATTCCCACCTCCACCTACATCTGAAACGCAGCATAAATCCATCCAAGATGGTGGATAAAGTTGAGAGAAGTGTTTGTTATAAATATAGTGCATTTCATTCAATAATGAAAAATATTGATTAAAAAAATAGGTTAGCGTATAGCATAGCAACATGCAAATGACAGACACCGAGTGCCAGTAGCTGTCTATGAGGTGTGTTCCAAATCAGTCATTTATGAGGTTCCACTATAGTTCCACTGTAGTCAGCTGCTTATGTAGGCAGTAGACAGCAAGGCAGCTTACTCGGTTTTTGAACAGAGCCATTTATTCAGTGTAATACAGTTTTATCATATAAAAGTTGAAGTATAAAAGCACAAAGAAATGACTAGCCTATATGAGTGTACTTTGCATGTATCTGACTAAATCTGATATAAAAAAATGATAAATTATAATGTTTGGACATTTGTAGATTCTGTTGTGTGATGCAAGGCTGCAAACATCTTCAAGATTGGGTGTGTATTAAAATAAAATACATTTAAATAAAAATGTGAGAATCTACCAGTGAAAAAACCCACATCAAGCAGACTGGGTGTAAAAGGCTGGCACTGAGGACCCCCAGGCAAACATATAGGCAAGGGTGACATGCCCTTTTTCCCGGACAAGTCCCGGCCAGGATTTCTATATTACCTAAAATATCCAGGGTTTGGCTTTGTTTGCGCTGCGCAGACCGATCGGTGTTATGACATCAAAGTACCGTGAGAGCTATAGAGAGCAGTCGCTCGTTACACTTTCGAATCGCTCTCGCGGTACTTTGATGTCAAACACTGATTGGTCTACGCAGCTCCGCTTCAAGTTGAACACACCTAAAATGTACGCATATTTGCATCGCTTTGACCATTCTCTGTAGATCACACCTTCTCACACGCCACGATTGGTTGATTATGTACAATGGCCTGCATGTTATTGGTCAAACTACTTTTCGATCATTACCTTCAGCAAGTATAAAATCAGGAAAACAAAGCCAAAACCTGGATATTTTAGGCAATATAGAAATCCTGGCCAGGACGTGTCCGGGAAAAAGGGCACGTATGGTCACCTTAATATAGGCCCTGTCCCTGTCACAACTCATGTGCACTTTCGGTCTTGAGGACTCACAATGCTGCATGCAGGTGTCCGTTAAAGCAGCACTATGTAACTTTTGGCGCTCTAGCGGTTAATAAACAGAACTGCACACATCCCGCGGAAGAACATTCCAAGCGGAGCTACTTCTCTTAAGTTTACATCTATGGCGATTCACGCCTATGGCGATTCACGCAGGTATGTGTTACTCTGCAGCGGTGACGACCCGACCAGGCTACAATAGTCCAAATATAAGTACTTATTATAAGTGTACCGTAGTGATTCGAAATAAGACAAAAACACGCGGTTTGAAAGATGAATTCATGATGTACTCGCTCATACATTTTGCAAATTTTGAACACAGAAAAAGTTACATAGTGCTGCTTTAAGTCCACGAGACTGTAGGGGAGGGGTGTCAAACTCAATTCCTGGAGGGCCGGAGCTCTGCAGAGTTTAGATTCAACCCTAATTAAACACACCTGATTCAACTAATCAAGTCCTTCAGGCTTATTTGAAAAAAAAACATGGTATGTATGTTGGAGCAGGGTTGAATCTAAACTCTGCAGGGCTCCGGCCCTCTAGGAATTGAGTTTTACACCCCTGCAGGGTGTCCCATTCGTCATTTTAGCGTTCAGAAGGGTGCTCGCGAGTCTGCGAGCTACACAGCCGACATCTACCCGGCAGTCTAAGCAGCATTACGTCATGAAAGTGCGGACTCAGAGGAAGACAGTGAGGGTTTAGGGTGCCATTTGGGACTGGGCCATAGAATTGGGTGGGGTGAGGGAGCATTTAGTTTTCGTAGGGGGGCACACTTTTTTATAATAAACTGAAATAGACCAAGTTCTATATTAAAACAGATCACTAATACGAGACGGTTCAACCTAGAACAATTTAGATAAATTAATTAACTACACAAATACCAAGTTGCATAATGCCTACACATTAAGTAAACCAGGACCCTTTTTTTGGGGGGGGGGGTGCAAACAAAAGTAAGAGCACCCTCAGTTGAAGCTGTACTAACAGCTCTCTAGTATAGTCGTGTTTGCGCTCTCGCAGAACATCAAATGTCTCTATTTACATTGCAGTGTAGACATATCTGTTGATTTCTTAAATGCAATGGCCAAACAGAAACATTTGTTAGAATCCACTCACCGCTCAAAAGGCTTGCGAATCCATTCGTTATAAAAATAAAGCATAGACACAATGTAAATAAGAGATTCATTGAGTGACAGAAATATGACCAAATGCCCGCCTTATTGAGTAGTCGATGTAAGCACTGTGAGTTGTTCTTTACTCGATCACTCGCTTCGAGGATTTATGCTCTTCATGTGGTAACTTACGTTCACAGTAAAAGCCCTGCACAACTAATTCTATATTGCAACTTCTTTATTAAGTTCTTTATTACTTCTTTTAAAAAAAAATAACGATAATAATATTGCAGAATTTTTACTGTGGCTCCTTTGGGGAAATGCATTAACCAAAAATGGGGGGGAAAAAGGCTCTTTGGTCAAAAAAGTTTCCTGAGCCCTGACCTATGACAATGGGGACAATTCAATGTACTGTAAAACAGGATCGACCCTGAAAACTCTAATTCCCAGAATGCAACATTCTTCTGAGGACAGACTAAGGAAGTGGCCTTGTGCTGATTGCTTTTTTTTTTTTTAATTATGATGATTTTGTGGCATTATGCGTTTTAATTGTCTCCTTTTTGTTTTCTGATCGCGCATGTTTAATTGAATCGTTCTGTTGATCTCTATAGAACTGTATCGATTATTATCCGGTCGGTCACGATGACAGTCACTGTGATCATCTGTAACTAATGAATGAACTGGAAGCATCTGACCTTTTATACCAGAAACTGGCAGATTTATCTGTGGCCACAGATAGTTTATGGACACTGGACGTACTTGAACAAAGATCCCGGAAGAATCGAAGGTAAATTGTTTAATTTGACGATATTTAGCAGCTCGCAACCGGTCACTCGCGATAGAAGGCTTTGAATACATGTGCTGTTAGAGGACAAACCGATAAAGTAATATAATATAAAACTACACGCTCTACATAGTCATGGATTACATGCACACGGCCAGATCAGTGGAAGATCGTCTCTTGAGCTACAGAAAAGACGAGTCCGGATGGAAAACATGCAAGAAAACTGTACGTGTGAAACAGAAATGTGTCATTTTGTCATCTTTTGCAGCTGTTTGTCTATAAACAAGCATTGGTTGTTCTTTCTAGAATGATGTTGTGGTGTATTGGAGACCCTCTTGTGAATTCGCGGGATATGTGTAAGTATAAATTTGTACATTACAGTATGATCCTGAATTTGTCACCGTGACGTCATATGTGCTGACTTCTCGTGCTCATGTTGTATAGATACTCTAGTTAGTGAAACTCCTGTTACATAGGCTATTATATGAGAAATAGTACGCGCTCATAAAAGTGGACATTATTCAGCCCGTGACACTGAGATCAATGCATATCCATACTCATGCTGTCAGGGTATGAAAAATAAATCCCAAAGTGTCAAGGACATTCCTCTGTTGAATGTGCATTGCTTTAGTTATGCTCAGCTCTGAAATATTTCACTTGGCAGATATTTATTTGGTATAATCACCGGGTTAGTCTTCAAATAGGGTCTGTTTTGACTACTTGCATTTTTATAACTATGTGTTCTGAAGTTCTAAAGACCTAATATTTTGGTATAAAGTAGGCTACTCAAAATTAAATGTTTATTTATGCCATATATGCATGCTTTAAAAATTTTTCTTGATTAAACCATTTTAAATTTGTAAACAAACGCTTTAGTTTTCTTTTATTGCTTTTCTATCATTAATTATATTTCTATAATTAAACATTAAATAATATAAAACATTAAGTTACCAGAATGTCATTATTTTGGGCATCTAAAATAAAATACTTTTTTTTAAACAACGAAACACTGTTTTTATCACTGTTATCAAAAACGGTATTAACAGTATGTCTTTAAAAAGTCATTAAAAAAAAGCATTGTTGGTCAAAAGGTGGGAGCCTTGTAATATTGTGCATAATAAACATATATAGTACAGTAATATGTTATAGGTAAAGTTATTCTTTTGTTTACATTTATTTTAGTGCTGTCAAAGCGGTTAATCGCTTTTAATCGCATCCAAAATAAAACGTTGTGTTTGCAAAATATGTGTGTGCTGTGTATATTTATATGTATATATAAATACATATATATGTGATATATATTTATATATGCTATAAATCATATATAAATATGAATATATATGCATGTAAATATTTCCTAAATATACATGTATGTGTATGTATTTATATATTCATATTCGTATACACAGTACACACATATATTATGTAAACAAACTTTTATTTTGGAAGCGATTAATCACGATTAATCGATTTGACAGCACTAATTAATTTATATTTAAATTATATATTACATTTTTTTTTTTCTTTTTGCCTTTTGTAGCATTTTACATGCTGTCGACATCTTGTGCAAACATCTTTACAGCAGTGACTTTAACCTTCGTCCCCCGTATGCACGAGCAGTGATTGTGTGTTCTTTGGGGTTTTCAGGTATAAGGGGGAGGGGATTGTCAATGGCAGTCCAGAGAAAGTGTGGGACTGCTTGAAACCTGAAATCAATGGACTACGTGTGAAATGGGATGCTAATATAAAAAAGTTTGAGCTGCTTGAGCAGGTGTCGGCGGTAAGAAAAACACAAATACACATCCCATTGTGAAAGGAGATCATTGTTGAGTTAAATCATATGACCTGACCAGTTCCTCTTCCAGCTAGCTGTAAGGAACAGTGTTTTATTTCAGTTTTCTTAGATTGTCAAAGATTGGTGATTGTACTTTTTATTTTAAAACAGTTTCTTGTATCCCAGTTTAATGTGCACAGTCAGCTATAAGTAAGCCATTTGTTGGCTAACATCCTGAAAAGTGTAAACACTGAGTGTATGGCACTTTGATATGTTTGGTTGAGTTTACAAATCAGCCCAAAAGCAACATTAGCCCCTATCGCACATACAGTCTTTACTGGTAAATTACCGTTAAGAGATCACGTGTGAACAGGACCTTTTCAAAAATACCGGAAATTCATTCTGGCAATTTACCGGTATGAGAAGTTGTAACATTACCAGTAATGCACTCTGTGTGAACGCAGCACAAGATTACCGCAGGGATTAAAGTTCCGTCGCTACGACGGATTTCTGTCAGTTCATAAAGACAGTCACTTGCTTCATTCCTGAATGATTCAGTCGTTCGAACGAATCAATTGAATGAATGATTCAGTGAAAAAATCAGTGACTTGCCGCCACCTGCTGGCGGGTTTAGTTTTTTTAGCGTATAATTTCAGTTATTTAAATCATATTTCTGCATTCAAATTTTTATATTTAAAACATTAATCGCCACATGAATTTATGAATTTAATTGCACTCATGCTACCTCTGAGCCTCATTAAACGTATGAAAATGTACCTACAAGCCACTTTTGTGTTCTTCTGTGCCACCTCTATAGTACAAATTAATTTATTAATACTAATTTCATATGATTGGTAACTTATTTGTCTTATTCTACATATTGTTTTAAATAGAAATTTTAAAAAGATTATAAACATACATTTTTGAATATTTTTTAATTAGGAGGACATGCGCTCCTAATTACAAGAAGAATTGCTGTAGAATAAGACAAATAAGTTACCAATCATATGAGATTAGTATTAATACATTAATTTGTACTACAGAGGTGGCACAGAAGAACACAAAAGTGGCTTGTAGGTACATTTTCAGACGTTTAATGAGGCTCAGAGGTGGCATGAGTGCAATTAAATTCATAAATTTCACTGAATCATTCATTCAATTGATTCGTTCGAACGGCTGAATCATTCAGGAATGAAGCTTTATGAACTGACGGAAATCCGTCATAGCGACGGAAGACGTCTACTCTGGGCCAGTCAGAACATTCTGACATTCTTTACTCCACGCTGTTTATACGATGTCTCTGGGCCAAAAGCAACTGCATGAATGTGAACGTTTGACACAAAAATTCAAACATCAGCAAAAACACTGACCGGTACACTGACATTTTTGTATTTACCGGTAAAGTCGTTCCGGTAATTTTACGGCAATTTACTGGTACTACTGTGTGAAAGGGGCTATTGGCTCAACCAGTGGCGTGAGTTTGAGGGAGTTTGTCTGATCAATGTCAGACAAGAGAAGCATCTGGGATACCTGTTTGAAAATAGTAATTATTCTTGCCATTTCACTTGGCTTCACAATTAATAATTCTTATTTCTAATTTCCTTTGTGATGCATGCTGGCATTCCATTGATTTAGTACATAAAGCAGCGATGCAACAGTAGATCTATACATTTCTAAAGCTTTTCTTTTTCATTCCCTAGGATGTTTCGGTCTGTCGAACAGTCACTCCTTCGGCTGCTATGGGTATTATATCGCCTCGAGATTTTGTTGATGTCATTTCCATTAAACGCTATGAGGATGGCACAGTTTCATCAAATGGTATACATGGCCTTTCTCCTTTTAATTGGATCTGAATCTGACACTGTTCTGAATAGGATTATTATAAATAAACATCAGACCTGATATCTATCTTAATAATGCTGTTATTGATCATTTAATTGATTTATAGCCACCAATGTAAGCCATCCAAACTGTCCTCCTCAACCCGGCTACGTCAGAGGCTTCAACCATCCGTGTGGCTGTTTTTGTGTTCCTGTTCCTGGGTGAGTTTCTCATGTCTCATGTCTTTGGTTGATGTAATTCAATCATCAGACAGCAGATGGTGGCAAAAAACTACATTTGAATTTTTCAGCAGTAGCATAATTTTTTTTACCTTTTTTTTTTTTTCTCTCTCTGTAGGGAACCAGGCAAAACTCAGCTGTTTAGTTTTTTCCAGACTGATCTTGGAGGTTTGCTTCCTCGTTCGGTTGTCGATTCATTTTTCCCCACTAGTATGGTGGAGTTTTACAGCAACCTGACCAAAGCCGTAAAATCACTTAAATAGCACCAATGGTACTTTATAGATAATACCCCCTTTAATCTTAAATGTGAATATTTTAATACTTGGATGCACTTAATTGCATTTAATCAAGCTTTAGTGGAAAGTGAATTTACCTTTAGATTTATTCCTGATTCTTCCAATAGCTACACGTGTCCAAACACACTTGCACAAAGACAGTTTTATATGTACAGAGTACTGGAACGTTTTGTTTGCCATATTATTTCAGAAATTCTGAAAACTTGATTCAAATGATGAACTATTGCACAAACAGTTATACATTTGCATTCATGCATTTGGCAGGTGCTTTTATGGGGTTTCTGCGGATATTAAGTCTTAATTCACTCCTCCACAAATTAAGGTCTTAAAAAGGTGCAGAAAGTTCATAAATTCATGAAGTTATGGCATTAAATGTTGCATGCACTGCAAAAATGAATAATTTCCTCAGTATTTTTGTCTTGATATTGTGGCGGATCAAATATCTGAACATGCTTAATCAAGATACATTTACTTGTGATGCAAATTGAATATATGAAGTCTGAAACCGAACTTAGCTGAACAAAATTAAGTGAGTTTATGCTTAAAACGAGAACAAATGTGTCTGTCAGTGGGGTCTGAAATCTTGTTTTCTCTGAATTGGTTTTTTTTTTTTTAGTCCATTGGCAGACATTTGCTCTTGTTTTATTCGTAAACTTACTTAATTTTGATACATTTGTCAGAAAACATGTGCTTCTTGATTAAAACAAGACAGAATAACTGAAGAAGAACATCTCTTTTTTGCAGTGTGATCAGAAGTTACACTAAAAGTTATTTCCGTATTCTTTATGGTTGGGAGCAGAGCTATTCAAGCCATAAGCTATAGTAAAATGCATTAAAAAGTAAAGGAGTTTTGTTGGAAGTTTCAAACTGTTTCTAATACAACCTAGACATTTACATTTAGAGAACATATTGAGGTTTTGTGATCCTTTCACTCTATTCCATAAATTCTTTACATTGTCTTAAAATGTCTTTAATGTACCTTCATAGAAACCTGCAGAAACCCTGTTTTATCCAAAGTGACTTAAAGTGCATTCAAATGGCATTTTATCAGTCAGTTTGTTTCATGGGAATCGAGCACATGATGTTGGTGGTGCTAGCATCATTCTCTGCCAGTTTAGAGTCATTCCATCAGGGTCATTTTTTTAAACCATAATTCAGCAGTGTGATCACATAATGTAGCATGATGATAGATTTGGAAATTATTTTCATTCATATAATGCATTGTTAAATTTTAGACTTTACAGCTCTATTTTAAAAGGTAGTGAGCTGCCTTGCCATCTACAAAGTTACCGGTTTGGAGCCCCCTACATAGGCAGCACAAATAATGCTCCTTACATGAAGCGTAAGAGGACTCGACTCACGATTGATGTAAAGAGAGTTTGGCTTTAGCATGTAACATGACGCTGCTTTAGAATGAGGTTCTTAGAAGGCAACATAAGGTTGCTGCATCTGTGTCAGGAGTGTGTGTTTGATGTCTGGCCTAAATAGGCAGTTCACTAGTTTTTGGAACGGAGTCTTATTTTAAAGGGGTCATATGATGCGATTTCAAGTTTTCCTTTCTCTTTGGAGTGTTACAAGCTGTTCGTGAATAGATAAGATCCCTAAAGTTGCAAAGACTAAAGTCTCAAACCCAAAGAAATATTCTTTATAAAAGTTAAGACTGGTCCACGCCCTCGCTGGTTTTAGAATTTCAGTCACATATTTGAGGACAGTTGTCTTAGATTGGAGATTAAATTTTTATTTGAATAATTGAGCTTTTGATAGATGCTCAAGCTTGACCCCTTATATCACATCAAGTCTGGTTGTTAAATATGCTGAAACTTTCCATAAGTATTTCTGTATTTTAATAGTGATATTTGAGTGCATAAATGGCTTTGGCAAATCAATGTTTACTGACAGACACATATCTTCAGACATATTTGAAGAATTGCATTTGCTGCTGTTCTCGGTTAGCATAGCTGAGTTTATGTACTGTATTTTTGAGACTGACAATAAAAAAAGGCCAGAACAATCATGACAGAATTATGATGAGGGATGTTATGATATAATGATAAAATAAGAACCCACAGGCTCAAGGTTTAGCTGGTTAGCATGACTCTGTTGGCCCCTGCTGGTGATTATGTAGTCAGTATAAAGCATTTTTCTCCACTGATGGCCAACCAAAAGTATCTTTGTGTTTGTATACAAGTATCCACAGGGTTCTGTGCCGGCCAGACCAGCAACTACCATTAAGATGAATGGGAATTCTAATGGAACAGGGAGTTGAGTGGAATCCTGTGTTTTTTTTTAGTTCCTGAATTTGAACTGAGGTAGAGAACAGGATGGAGAGTTTGAATTTATTGAATATATATAAGTTGTATTAAACAAATAACTTCAAGAAGTCTTTAGATTACATATTTAGTAAATTACCTCAATAAGTTCATCATTTCATGGATCACGGTGGATGATATAGTAGCTTAGGGATATTTTACCCAGATATTAAATATTTCTGTCATTATTTACTCGCCCTTAAGTTGTTCCAAACCTGTGTGAGTTTGTCTCAGTCAACATATTATAATAGTGTTACTCTAATGGATTCCTCTGTTGTTTTACTATGTTGAATTTCAATTCCACTATTCGTCATTTCATTTGAAATTCTATTCCAATTTTGCAACCTGTGGGGTGTGGCCAATTCAATTCAAATGTACACGTATAAATTAAAAGGGAGTCCATTTTTAAATTCAGTTTTTGAAACATTCCAGAAATATGGAATTAAGACATTTTTCGACCATAGACGCAGTAGAAATGAATGCTGTTACGTCCTTTTATCTCTGCTAGTAATCCGTCATTATCGCACATGGACAAAGGGACTGTTTAATGCTGTGTATATCACTGATATGACTGACCTCAGAGAGAACCCTGTGTGTTTCTTTTTGATCACTTTAATTACCGTTTGTGTCTAGCTGCACGATTGTCCTCCTGTCATGTGTCCAGTAGGTACTTTGTATTTTTATGCCTGTATGCCGTCAGTGAAATTACTGTGAACGCATGCTCATGGCCTGGAGATGTGTTCTGTGCTTTTTTTTTATTATTATTTTTATGTACTGTAAATGAGCAGTATGCTCTAGTGCATTTCAGGATTATTTTGGGAATCAAGATTTTACATCCGTTTTGCAAGGAGTGTGTGCTTGCCTTCAGTATTATTGTGCAAAGTTCTCTATATGTTGTAATAATGCACACAGATTTACATTCCAAAAGCAGTGTATACAGTTTGTCAATTCTGTCAAGCAAGAGTTTTTGATTATTCCAGATTTTTGCATTTCTTGAAGTCAACGTGAAATGTCATTCAGAAGCCATTTTACTTCTGTAAACTGATGTATTTAGAATAAAACATTTGGTGGTTCTTGATTTTATCCTCCTGGAATTGATTGGATCGTGAAAAGTGGGCGGTACAAACCGGAATGGAGGCAGATGATTGGATGGGAGAAGTCAAACAGTATGAGGGATTTGTAACAGCAGACGAAAAGAAAGGTCATAATAGAGGCGGAGCAAGTCAGTATATTTTCATAGTACATTCTTTTTAATAACATGCAGTGATGGACCTGGAACTGTGCATTGAAATCAGATCATTTCTCATTTCATGTTGACTTCAAATATGTTTTTGCTCAATGCAGTTTATTATATGTCCACCTGCCATTGACTGTGGGACATCTGTGTACTGTTTGTTAATACCTAAAAGAAGCAAAAACTGAAGAAATTGCACTTTGTAAAACCCATTGTATGATTCTCCTTTTAGATTCTGTTCTCAGATATTAAAAATGATTGATGACCATATTTATCATTTGTATCGTACTTTATTTGTACATTACAAGCCTTAAGTAATCACATGTAAAACATCTTTGTTCTGACACAATTTCAATATATTAAGGCTTCTTTTTAAGGGAAACAAAAAAATAACTAAAGACCAGAATACTAGAGGCACAGTACTTATTTTACTAAACTGTCAAAGTTGGATTCTGTTAGATAATAGATATTTTTGAAAATATCAAATGAGTATATTTATCATTTCTGCCTTTGATGAAAAACTAGAGCAATGTACTGTTGGGGGGAGCATTTGACAAAAAAAAAAAAAAAAAAAGAAATATTCTATTTCTAATCTCTTGAAAACCGTGTGCCACAAATGCTTCATGACATGTTCTTTACATTCTGCTTTGGTGAAATGGTATAGAAATATATCTGAAACTATTTACAGGCTTGTGCAAATCATTGCATCAAAACAGGCAGACTTGACAAGAATCATATTTTTATGAATCCCTGATTGTGACAGTAAAACAGTACAATACCAGCACCGTGATGCGCTATAAAAATCTGCTCAGAAAAACGAGCTTTCCTGATCATGTAGTACCACATCATGCAGTGATGCACATCATAAGAGAGGAAAGTCATACTGTCAAAATGCTTTAATGGCAAAATGGAGCGATCAAGGCAACTGAACGATCCCAGAAGGGTTACAACAGTCATGGAAAACCCGGAAATATCAAGGAATGGGATTTCCAGGCCTGCAAAACTATATATATACGCTTTTCTTGCTCAACTCTAAAACATTTACCCCCGGTTTCACAGACAAGGCTTAAGCCTAGTTCCATTCTAAAGTGGAAGTCTGAGCTGTTTTAACTGAATGAAACTTGCACTGACTGATCTTAAAACATGTCAGTGCCTTTGTTTAGTCTCAAAATGCACACCAGTAATGTTTTTTTTCTAAGGCACGTTAATAAAAATTACTTAAATGTCCTAATTGAACTATTGCCTAGTCCTGGCTTAGTCTAAGCCCTGTCTGTTAAACCAGGCCTTACTTGGATAGAAATTTTCTCTTTTTGATTGCAGTCTCTGTAAGAAAAATGAAATGAAAATTGATTGGTTGAAAAAGGATTGGTCAAATCATATGGGATCCCTGCTTTTAAGAAATTGTTTTGTAATGTGTATTTATTTTTTCCCAAGTGGAGGCATTTCCTCAAGTCCTGAAATGAAGTTTTGCATAATTTAAAGTCGATTCAAATTTGGAATAAGTCCAGTATTTTCTTCTGGGTGCTTCTGAGTGGAGTTTAGCTCTACTCGCATTTTTTTCTCTTAATGACGAGTGTAAACGGCCCATCATCAAGGCCTTTAATGAGTGTCCAGGCCTCAAAGCGCGTGAGACCCTGCAGAGACGAGTCCTGGATCTGTAGTACCTCATCACCAGACGCCAGCCCCTTTTGCTCAGCGTCACTCCCTGCCAGAGAAAATACAGTATATATTGTATGATTCATGTTACAAACTGATTTGTAGACCCACATGAAATCTGCACCCGCATAACTTCACAAAAAGATTTCTGCAGAATGGGAAAAGCGCCATTCAGAATGTTCTTCACATTCCAGTTTGTTGGTTTATCAAATATTTTGGTTATTTTGATTTTGCTTTCAGCTAACTGAAAATAATTAGGTGTAGAAGCACTTTTTGCCCAGAATTTTACAATCAATTACAAAGAAACAAGCAGCCTTGAATTAAACATGAAATTTTCAAGTAGAAAGACTCGTATAGTGTACTCCAATAATCTTTAGTTCTTTCTTAGAAGAAAACATGTTTACAGTAGAAGTACTCTCAAGGACAGATGTAGCATTGCATCACTTGCTCAGCAATGCATCCTCTGCAGTGAATGGGTGCCGTCAGAATGAGAGTCCGAACAGCTGATAAAAACATCTTGCTTCATAAGATGTTCACTGATGGACTGGAGTGGTGTGGATTATTGTGATGTTTTTATCAGCTGTTTGGACTCATTCTGACGGCACCCATTCACTGCAGAGCATCCATTGGTGAGTAATGATGATATAATTCTAAATTTCTCCAAATCTGTTCTGATGAAGAAACAAACTTATCTACGCCTTGGATGGCCTGAGGGCGAGTACATTTTGAGCAAATTTTCATTTTTGGGTGAACTTTTTCCTGTAAGGTTCAGTCATATAGTCTCACCTGTAAATATTCTGTTGACGGTTAGTGGTCTGTCTCCATTAATGGAGCCTTTTCCTCCCTCAAGACTAAATCCAACTCCACCTGCGTTCTTCTCCAGCTCGATTGTTACAACTTCACCTCCATCGTCCCCTAAGTGTCATTTTTTGAATCAAAAATCATATAGAATGAATGTACACATATTTTGCATATTTAGATTTATGTTATTTGGATAAGATTCATTTCCTAAATGACATTTGAGTAATAATTATGAACAGAGTGCATCCAGATACATCATAAAACCCACTGAAACTATTAAAGGACTAAATCCATAACGGTAGAACTAGACATTTGGCTTTAGTTATGAAGCATTGTGAAAAAATAATATTCCATCCAAGTTAACTAAAATTTCTCTGCAATTTCTACCAAAGTTGTGTAAGAACAACTGATGTGTTGGATGTGGATAGAACTAGTACATCTGTGAAACATGAATTCACCTCCTCAGGGAAAACTAGTCCAGTTCAAATAGGGCTTTTTATTTGACTTGAATCATAGTTTTTTAGCACACAACATGTAGCTCTTGTAACATTCCTGTATTATTTTTGTGCCCTATTATGTTGACATTAAACATTAATGCCATCGCTGTGCTGACGTCAGTGATGTTGGCCCACCTGTGATGCTGCTTTCTGCCCCGCTGCTGCAGCTGGACTCATTAGCGTTAGCGCCTCCCTTCCCTTCTGCATCTTTGTTCTTGGACACCACTATCACCGCCTGCTTCATAGTGCGGGCCTGCCTGAGAATCGCTGTGGCATCGCTGTGTGTGACGTTTTTTAGCGTTTGGCCGTTAATGGACAGCACCTCATCTCCTCTTTCAATGGTGCCCTCCTGAGCAGCCAGACCACTGGGAAACACCCTGTGAACCTGAAGGTACATGATTGGGTACATATACAGTAAATAAAATGAACAATTCTTTTGCTAGTGTTAACTGTATACATTTTGCATTTACAGCTACAGTGGAACCACTGGAAGTTTGTAACTGTATCCTAAATGATCCTAAAAATGTAGGGTCAGTATGAATTTTTAAATTTTTTTGAAAGAAGCCTCTTATGCTCACCAAGGCTGTCAAAAATCAGTAAAAACCATCATATTGTGAAATATTACAATAAAAAAAAATTTAAAAAAAATTATATATATATAATAAAACGTAATTTATTCCTGTAATCAAAGCTGAATTTTCAGCATCATTCCTCCAGTCTTCAGTGTCACATGATCCTTCAGAAATCATTCTAATATGCTGGTTTGCTGCTCAAGAAACATTTCTTATCAATGTTGAAAACAGTTGTGCTGTTCATTTCAATCTTTTGTAACATTAATGTATTTTAATGCATTCTTGCTGAATAAAAGTATTATTTTCTTTAAAAAAAAAAACTACTGACCCCAAAAGGTTTCAATAGTAGCATGTAAATTAAAAATAAAAAAATTTCACTTGTTTTTTTTTTCTTGTACGAGATTGTAAGAAAACACAATGTCAAAAATTTGTATTTTTCATACAACGAAAGTGAATGATGATATTCACTGCCAAGCTCAAAAAAGGACCTCCGATGTAGTCTACTGTGACATACGATAGTTTTAGCTAAGAAACAGACCAAAATCATCCCTTCTGGCATAGATTTCACATTTCATGACCAAAAATAAATGTGAAAGCAAAAAGGTCGATTATTGTCAGTGATATCAAATCATTTTTAATTGAGTGCACGCTTGAATGAGATTGAGAGATTTGAAGCATGGACATTCTACCCAAGATCTTAATTTGTGTTTCAGGGAAGCAAGAAAATAATACCGATTTACGCGTGTGCAAATGATGACAAAATTGAAGAGGCAGTGTCTCCTGCTGACAGGTGAAGTAGATGAGCTGTGGTGCGTGGTTTATGGAGATACAGAGACGTCACTCACTGTAGTTGCTTTGTTCTCCAGATCAATACCGCCAGCAATGCTGAAACCCAAGCCAGCTCCTTCTTCTTTATGTAGAATCACAACGTGGATGTCTTCCAGTTGCTAATGGACATTAAGAAATCCAAATCAGCCTTATTCTGTGGTTCAAAAACACTTTGTATCTGTGGCTGTACTGGAAGCGGAATTTAGCATATCAGTTATTCTAGAACATGCTTTGTAAAGAGCAGTTGCCTCAATGATTTGGCGGGCTGAATCCTGTTCCCACTCTTTTACATTATGCAGTTTTGAGAGAAATATATAAATGTTGCCTTCCCTAGTGTTAAATAGCACATAAGAATTGCATTAATAATTGTGTCAAAATCACATTAGCATCTGGCGTCTTAAAAGATGACACTTGTCTTAACATGATTCATAGGCTATTTGATTGTAAATATAAATTTGTAACCGAAGTGTCCTCAAGTACAAAGCCAGATTTTAAGGCACACCTACTGAATTTGTCTTGGGACCTCAGCCAAAAAGGCCAGAAATGCATCCAAAATTGTGATTTTAAGAAGAAATTGCTTCACGGAGTATGCTTTACATGTATCCAATCCATGCTTTAGTATAAATCTGAAATGTTGGAATTGTTATAACCTATGAAGTCAGCCTCAACGCTTCACCCATGGCCTTATGGGATAGTAAAGTGTCCATCGGATACACACTCCAGAATCCCAGCAGAAGTAGCAGGTAATCGGGTATTTATATTCACATATGGTTTTATAATATTGCTTATTCAAACATATGACAAACTGTTTTTATTTTATTTTTTAGCATACTCTATATTATTTGTAAGAACTACCAAAGTAATTTGATCATTAAACAAACTTTTATTTAGTTGGTTCTAACATTTCTTTCCATCTGTGTTTTGAATTTATTTATAAAGACAAAAATTATATTGAGGGACTTGAAAGCCTTATGCTAGTTGTTAAAGCTATAAAATAGCTGCTCGATTTAAACTATCCTGTGGCATGACTTGCTAAACTCCATCTAAAACGACTGAGAGACTGCATAGAAGATCGTTACATGAAAAATAAAATCACTTGTCACACCACAGGACCATATAAAATGGACTATAGAAAAATCCAAAAAGATTCTTTGATTCATTGAGTCCATAATGCAGCCCTGCTAACTACACAAATACAGCTAACCCCTCATCTTTGATAGCTTTTACAGTTGTTCCCTTATTTATATAACCAAATGTAAAGCTGACATGCCCTCAAGAAATTTCGGCAAAATATTGACACTTCCTCTTTTTCTGCATTTTGCTTCTACAGCACAAAGCACATTATGTCTCAGGACTTGTAAACAGTGCATATCACTTAATTAACCTGAAGCAATATAGACAGCTTTGTTTAACTGCAGACAGAAAATGTGGCAGGGGAATATTGATCAAGGAAACGGTCATAAATACAAAACAGTGCAGCAAAATGCACCCAAGAGGGACATTGCAACACTGCTGTGATCAGGAAGTCACACTCTTGACCAAGAGATGCATGCTTTATTATACATTTTCAACTCTGCTAGCAAATGAGCTTCAAAATGTAGCAGCACGCAAAGGAAAGCTCACTGACCTTTAAGAGGACTTCAATTTTGCTGTTTTGTTATAAAGAACCGATTGTTCCTCTGTCACACCTCTCATACATATTCAGGTTTGCAGAGCAGGATATGGAAGTAATCAACGCCAGACAATAGCCAACAGCGTGTACTTTGTTGTATCAAACCAAAGCTAAACCCACCCTTAGCGTTTCTTCATCCAGATCCTTGACTTCCTGGATCATCTGCTGAATCTCCTGTGGCGGAAGACCTGATAGCATGGATTGGGCACAGACATCTGAGGCTGAAGTGAATGGTCGTTCGGCTTTCCATTCTTCCTTCTCACACTCCTCCCCTCTCTCGATGGTATGCTCTCTCAGTTTAGCCAAGCTGTAGATCAGATATAATAAGTTAGTGAAAGTGTCTTTGACCAGGGGTAGCCAACACTGCTCCTGAAGGATGACCATCCTGCAGAGTTCAGCTCCAACCTTAATCAAACACACCTGAACCAGGTGTTCAGGATTACTTAAAAATATGTGTTGGAGCAGGGTTGTAACTGAAGTCTGTAGGAAAGTGTCCCTGCCCTGACCATTGGTTCCCAACCACGTTCCTGCCCCTTCAATGCTGCACATTTTGAACATCTCCTTTGTCTGACACACCCATTTCAGGTCTTGGAGTCTCGACTAATGAGCTGATGACCTGAATCAGGTGTGTAAGTAGACATGCAAAATGTGCAGTTTTGGGGGGGCTCCAGGAACGTGGTTGGGAACCACTGCCTCTGCAACCCTTCAACCTCCTTTTGGGACACTGCCAAGACAAGGTTGGTTTCTAGAGCAGAGGTGTCCAATCCTGCTCCTGGATGTCTGACATCCTGCAGAGTGTAACTCCAAACTGTTCCAACACACCTGAATGAAAGTTTCTAGTAAAGGATCCAAATACCTTGATTAGCTTGTTCAGGTGTGTTTGATTAGGGTTGGAGCTAAACTCTGCAGGACAGTGGCCCTCCAGAACCGAAGTTGCCCAGCCCTGCACAAAACCGTTTTTAAAACTGGTGGAGACCACAGACTTAAAGACAGTTTCAACCAAAGTTTAACATTATAATCCTCCGAATGCACACACTGTGCCAAGCCTCGAATCGGGCCACCCCCCCCAGCCAAATTGGGCTTAAAATCTTCAACTGTGTGGCCAGCCTTACACTTTTTCGAACTACAAGCTAATTTAATGTTTCACTTGCACATGTTGTGGCCAATTTACTAACATCTCACCACATTTATCTGTAGAAAACTTTAGCTCAAACATGCATGACAGGAAAGAGTTTGTTTCTAACGGTGATAAGAACTAGTATGAGAACTTACAAGACATTAGCATGAAATGGTCTGTTCTTTGTGACTAACTCAAAAGAGCTGCATTTCCGCTTGTTTCATTTAAAACAGGTTCCCGAATGATTCAAACCTCTGCAATGCCTTTATCGTGCAGCCAGTTCTCAACATGAAAGAAGCTGACATTGTTGGCTTCAGTCCCTGCAAGTGATCTTATCCTGTACCTTCAGCCAGCACAACACTGCACAGAGTGTAATTATACCCCAAACGCTTTCATCTTCCAAGTGCATTTGTCCTACAACGTTTTCAGAGATAATATGCTTGGATAAGTTTCATACCTTACAGAGAAGCCCTTTTCGCTGTTTTCTGGTGGGGGCTTTTCAGCAGGAGAGTCTTCCTCTATTGGGTTATGAAGAGGGGATCCTGGTGGGGCGCTCCAAGGGTTCCCAAACCGAATGCAAGGGGACTGCGGCAGGGATTGCATGGATCGCATCAAAGCATTGGACACTTGGTTGCTGAAGGACAAGATGATCCCTAGGCTCTCCCCGTCCAAGCCGCTTGAGTTGGGGGCATCTGAAGAGGGACTGAGGGGTAGACTCTGGGTCCTCAAGCTCACCGCATGAGTTCCTGCACCTTCGTTTTTTTCTGCAGGACCCTCCTTTGAGCTACTCGATCTCCTCGGGACGTGGCTTGAAGGGGACAAATCGTCTTGAGAAGGTAAGGGTTCTTGCTCAGTCTCTGAAGCAGGTGGAAGCTCTTTTGTGGAGTCAAGAGCAGGTTCCTCAGCAGGGATCGGCTTACAGGGCTCTGAATCATGAGAAGTTGATTGTTTTTCTTCCTCTGCAGGATGGGGCTCTGAAATGATATCTGAACCGAGGGAAGCTGGTTGCTGCTTTTCTTCTCTTGGAGGCTGGGTGGTGGCTGAAATTGTTGGTGTAGACTGGCAGTCATCATTATTGTGCAAGTTGCTTGTGGTAACTTTAGTTCTCCCTGCACTGCTGTAGTCTGCAGATGAGGTTTTAGCCATCTTCTCCACTGGAGGAAGAGATGCAGTTGGGGCCAGTCGCCTGCTTGGCCTTTCGGATCCATCGGCACTAGAGAAAGTCTCAAACGAGCTGATCTTCTGCCTGATTGACAAATTGGCTCCCGATGTAGCGGCCCTCAGACTAATCCCAAAGGTCCTGCCAGTATCTTGACTCCTGTTATCTGGATGCTTCAAAGCTTCTGTTATCGGTTTCCCAGACTTAATGCTCTTAATGCTCTGACGTGCCCATGCAGGCTTTGGAGCCACCGGGGGGCCTTTTTTGACATTGGGAGATTGCTCAGATTTGGAGTCTGAGGTGGTGTTTGTGGTTTCAGAGGATGTGCCGTTAAGATCACTATCTCCATTAAGGTCACTCATGGTTTTGTAGCAGTATGACTGGTTCTCCGGGCTGTCAGTCAGCTTTACCCAGGGGTCAAGTGGTTGATCTGTACTGACCTCCAAATGAGCCTGACGTCTCAGACCGACCCGCTTACTTGGACTACACACTTTAGATGGGGACTCTGGACCTGTAACATAATAGTGTTCATGTCCTTTTAATTTCCTTTTAATGAGCTGTCGAATAGAGAAGTGCAATGTGAGAACTAACTCACATGCTGCCTCACATCCAATATTTGTCACAATTGTTTTATTTTCATTCAAAAATAGAACAACTATAATATGAATGTTAAAAAGAAAATAAATTTTTTTTGGTTTTCTTACATAAAAACCTTGCTATACAGGAACGTACTGTTATCAGCTGAATCAGGAAATGAAAAGTCTCAGCATACATGTTTTGAACTTACTCAGAATAATATAAAGTAAATATCTAAATCGAAGTTATGCAACCAACATGACATGTTTTTATTTTTATTTAAAAAATCAGTAGTAGGTGTATTTCAGGTTAACATACCTCTGTGCTGTCTGTCCCCTCTGTGTGTTGAGTCCCTTTTAGGCTCAGAGATACTGACAGATGCTTTAGTTCTGACTTCTGCGCATTCAACCACTTCCTGTCACAAAAACAGGAAATGGTTGGCTGAGTTTGAGTCTTACAAAGAATTCGAAAAGGTGTAGAAATGCATTCGCCATAATTTCGTCATGCATCACTGTTGCATACAGAAACCCAGGCATATACACACACTAGAGCCATGCCTCATGCCAAACACTCAAGCATTTCAATACCTGAATCACACATATGACAAAAAGATGCACTATTGTGCAAATAAATGTTTGCATGAAGTGCACACAGATTCATATTCAAACAATTGTCATCAAACACTGACATGAACATGTCCAGAAAGAGGTAGCATGAATTTCTACGTACATTCTTAAACAGAAGCCTTGAGATCGTTCTCAAAGCCCTGTATAGACTGCAGAAAAACTAGATGCATGTGGAGAGACAATAAAACAATGCATGAGGCAATAAAGGATAAAAAAGATTTTACATAATGATAGTCACTGTAAAATTAATGTCTATTTAGGTTCAAATTTATATATTTCTTAAGGAAATAGATATTAGTATAAAGGAAATACATTTGTGAATATATATATATATATATATATATATATACAGGTGCATGTTTTAGATTAGTCCCCATTTTTTTAAAGTTTTTCATAACTGAATAGTTCATTTCAATATGATCCTATGGTGTGACGAATTACGTTGTGAAATTATTCACTGTAGTCTGACCAGCTGAATACCTCTTGTTTCATCTGGTTGACCCCCTGTTATGTTACACTTTTGTTTGTAGAATAAATTAAACCAAATGAATCAAATAATGCATTTCTACAATGACATTGATAAATGAATTTGTTATTTTTATTTTTTATATATTTCTATATTTAAAAATAGATAATGCCAATGTATTTAAATTGTAGTTTTTGTATTGTTAATTTTAACACATTTCTGTTTTTCACAGATCATAATCAGAGTCACCCTGTTGAACAATTTCCTAATTTTATCGGAAATTGCTTAAAATAAAATTTGCACACACAATGTTATGTTTACATATAATTTTCTACTTGCTTTCCAGTCAGATGAATTCAAAAATCCAGTCAAACAATATAAGAAAAAATTTATTAATGCCCTTTTTTTTCTTTGAGAAATATTACAGCTGTTTACTTGGACATTGATGGTGCAAGATGTTCTCATGCAAAACCTGTGAAAAATTTGCCAATAAGGCAAGGGTTGCAGTTAAGCCAATCGTGTCTTGAACTACTCAGCTACCATTTATGGACAATGCATCAGTCTTACAGTGAAAACCGCCTACTTGTATACAGTCTCTTTGACAGAGAGCAAAAAATCAGTAGTATGATATGCAATGCAATATGTAGATTTAAACCTGCATATAATTCATTTACTGGGCATAACCTCTCTGACATATGTATTGCTGTGCAAATCTACATAAGGAAGAGAAAACAAAGAAATAAACATTTTAACTGAGCCAAAAAAAAAAACCCTGAATATTCTTTGTTTAATAAAAATAGTGCATTTCATAAATGTGACTAGCCCTACCTGGCAGTTGTTTTGAGAATACAGCAGATCTTCCTCTTTCACGGGTGAACCTCGGCTACAGCCGCTCGAATCAGTCAGCACTTCCTGACTGCTGACTTCCTGTCGTCTGCAGTTCCTCCGTGGCTGGTTTGTTGCTCCTTGCGTAGAGCTCCTCACCACACCTGCATGCACATCTAATGTTTGCTGTCCAGTGAAATTCATTGGACATTTATAGGGAATGTTATAGTCGTCATCGGTGAACGAGGCTGGAGACAGTGTGTAATTAAGTGAAGTTTCACTGTTGGTTGTTAAAGAGACGTCCATGCTCTGGACTCTGGTGACGTGCTGGGGTTCGAGGAAGGATTGAGTGGTGGCGCTGGCCGGTATACAGCGCTGACTGTAGGCGCCCTCACTGCACGATCGGATCATGGGTTTCTGTGCTCGTCTACAGGTCGGCTGACTCGTGCTCCGGTCCAGACAGCAGATACACTTCTGTCTGCTGTGGGAACAGGCGTCGGATCTCCTCAGACCTGAGATCAGATAAAGACGTGTCTAAACCAACGACCCATTTTCTTCACAGTAGAAATAATCATGGACAAGTTTATTTTGTACGAATAGTAAACAAGACACTACGCAGACATCTGAGCCTTTGATTCAAGTCCAGGGTTCCCACACTTTTTGACCTATGAATTTCCATGAGATCATAATTAATAAATGAATTGAAATAATAATAATAATTATCATTTATTCAGGTTTCCATTTAGTACCAATCCTTTTAATTAATGGATTTAAATTATTATTATTATTATTATTATTATTATTATTCAAACAAATTGATATTTTACTCTGGATTGTGCCATTTATTTGTACTCTACACAAACACTATCAAAATACAATATCTAACAGAGTAGTATCATATTTTGTATGCATCCTTAAATTATATTAAATGATTAATATGATTAATTATTAATAGTAAATTTCAAATTATATATACACACACACACACCCACATATTTACACACATACAAACATTTATATAGTTACAATTGCTATGATTTTTAATCATATTAAATGATTAATATTATTATTAATTAACTTTTTATTACATATATCTTTAAATGATATAAAATAAAACTAATTAATGTTATTATATAATAAAATTTCTGTAATTTATATATATTATTATTATTATTATTATTATTATTATTATTATTATTATTATTAAATATTCACAAAATAAATTTTCATGACTTTTTAAGATTAACCTTTTTCTTTTCTGGTAATCTAAAATTGTGAAAAATTTCCATCCATTTCCAAGTTTTCCATGACTGTAGGAACCCACCAAGTCCATTTGTAAATGATCTGAACCATGTCTCAGGTGGGCAATTTTATTGTTTATAATATTTTCATCTTTTTTTAGTCCAAGTCATGAGTCTCAAGTTACCATTTCTAAGTTAAGCATAACTTTACAACTAAAACAGTGTTCAACTTGGCCTGTTTCACACATGTACGTAAGCAGCACACTTTTTTTCTCCAGTATATCTGACCGAATCCATACACAACCACCTCTAAGATGCATTACCATTTGAATGCAACTGTGGTCCTCATAATATTAATTATATTTACTGATAATGTTGATCCACTCCCAGTTGCAATTTTAAGGCCATTAATAAAATAAGTACTCAGTGACCTCAATCACTTTACTTGCTGTACTGAGCTACAGTTACTGTTGCATTTACGCTGCAACTTTACTTAAAAACTGCAGATGCAGGATGTGTGAAACAGGCCTTGGAAATGAATGTCACAAGTTGATTTCGGAGCAAACAAAAGATCAATAACTCACTGCTGTTACATCCGTCCATACTCCACTGTCTCCTGTCTCTCCTCAGTCTGCTGTGCTCCACCGCCTGAGCGATGGCCTCGTTCAGCTGCTGCTCAGAAACCTTCAAACACATGCAAGTTTATATTTTAGCACTCCACACAAATAAGGCTCTGAAGACGTTTATGTGCAAGGCTCAGAATGAAAGCGTTTGATTGATGTGTGGCACTGGCTCGAGTACATCACAGTGTTTATAACACTCAAGACAGTGTTCAGTTTTCATAGGGTGTGTTGTACGTATCTTTCGGAGCCTTCTGCATTAACCCAGTCTAACCAACAATTGCAATGCAGTTTTTTAAACCAATCAGAAATGTGTAAATTCAAACATGTATGATTTTTTTTCTACTGTGAAACACAAAACAAGCAACTCTGAAGCAATTCTAGTCATTTTTACTGTGCAATTATAGGCACTGAAGTCTTCAAGCTTCAAAAAGCACGATAAATCATCATTACAATGTCATAAAACTAGTCCGTACAACTTTTGCATTATATATAACTCTTCTGAAGTCATGCAGCAGCTCGGCATGAGAATTTTCAATTGCACTGAATTTAAATCTTGTTCATTTTCATAGCCTTGCAGTATATGTGATGATTAAAACTTTTGGATTTGGATGCTCACCCTTCTGCAGCGTGATCTCCATCATGACTCTGTCCTGGGCTTTTGCGGGGTTATTGAGGCAATTATAGTCTCCCAGATCAGCACTGACTCGACTGATACCAGTGCTTGAGCTCAGAGATCTGGATCGGCATAACTGAGACACCTGGCCATGGCTGCCCGGCACGGCCCCCACCCGCAGACTGGTCCTCACCACCAGCGTTAACAAACCCTTCTTCACTTGCTTCAGAAAGACAAACACAGTTTATTGTTGGTAAAACCTGATGGATTAATGATAGATCGACATATTGTCTAAGTGGATTAATCAGTATTATATTACCATTCGTGTTAAATTTAATGTAAAAAATTTAAATATATAGCTGAAATAAAATATAAATATTAAATGAAAAAAAATAAATAAATAAATAAATATATATATATATATATATATAATTTAAAAAATACATTTAAGGTTAAATATATTTTTTCCACTTATAGTTAACCAATTAGAGTTTTTACTGTGGCATTTTACCTTAATTTTTATATAAAAATTATATCAGCCCTTAAAACATCCCATCAGTCTACCAATATGCATATGTTTTTTTGCCAATTGAACTTTAAAATATGAAGCCATCCAGGTGAGGTTACTCACTTTAAACTTGTGTAAGGCATCTTCATGGGTCAGGCCATGCAGAGATTCCCCATTCAATTCCAGTATCTCGTCTCCTGTAAACCAGAAACACTAATATAGTTTTCTATCCATTTCTTGGTAATGCAGCTCTGAGTGTTGATGGGAAAGCTTCATTTTAAAGTAAGTGTCTGGACAGATCTGGATAGATATACTCATGCATTACCAATTACAGTGTGATATTTAACTTAATGAGTCCACCTTCCTGTAGTCTTCCATCAGCGGCCGCTGCGCCTCCAGGAAAGATGGTCTTCACGTAAATCCCCATTGGGCCGTACATGCTGTCTCTTCCTCCTACTATACTGAATCCCAGACCCTGGAATACCGGGAACAGCCGTTTATATATGAAAAATTCAATGCATCATATTTTGTGTTGCATATATGTGTTACCTTTCCATGGCCCTTCATGAGGACGATGTTGGAGATGATGAAGGCCTGTACGCTACTGCAGGAGGGGACCAAGTGTGCTGAACTTAGAGAGCGAGACGGTCTAACCACAGCCTGCAGAGACCAAAAAGAGCACAAATAATGTCAAAGGCCTATGTTCAGGGCCAAAAAGGACAATAAGAGATGTTTTCATTTCATGCGATTCTGCTACACAGAGCAGAAGTGGTCATAGTGTATTTGAGTTACATGTGCCATTCCCATGACATTCATTAAAAACAGCCACTTTGCTGATGTGGAGAGGGAAAGCTCTTTGTAGAGAGCACTTCTAGAGAAGGAGAGATGCTTTGAGCACTTACTGCAACAGCCATTTATTTGATTACTAGTATAATGATGACCTTATCAAATAAAGTGCAACAGCTGAAAGGCCAGGCATTCATTCACCATTCACTGCCGTTCTCTCATCTAGAACTGTTCAGTCCTGAACTAAACAGCTGCACCATTGATTTATTTCAGTGTAAACACCCACTACTTATTCACTAACCTTCCGCAATCCAGTATAACCAGGCACTTTGCTATAATTAAACTCATTGTCATTCTTTTCGCAGTAAAGTCCTCCACAGCTTTACACTCACACAATCGGCCTGCAAGATGAGGGACTGTGCTAGACAAATGTGACCCTGGAGCACAAAACCAGTCTTAAGTCGCTGGGGTATATTTGTAGCAATAGCTAACAATACATTGTATGGGTCAAAATTATTGATTTTTCTTTTATGCCAAAAATCATTAGGATATTAATTAAAGATCATGTTCCATTAAGATATTTTGTAAATTTCCTACCGTAAATATGTCAAAACTTAATTTTTGATTAGTAATATGCATTGCTAAGAACTTCATTTGGACAACTTTAAGGCAATTTTTTTGATTTTTTGATTTTTTGCACCCTCATTTTCCAGATTTTCAAATAGTTGTATCTCGGCCAAATATTGCCCTATCCTAACAAACCATACATCAATGGAGAGCTTATTTATTCAGCTTTCAGATTATGTATAAATCTCGATTTCAGAAAATTTACCCCTATGACTGGTTTTGTGGTCCAGGGTCACAAATAGTGATCAGCACCTTGAGCTTGTTTGTACAATTAATTAATTTGCATCACTTGATGTATACTGTGCAATAAAAATGTTGAGATTTTTATACATCTGGTATATATGACACAATTTAAAAAACATATTTATAATTAAAATCTTATAATTGCGCATTTTATTTTATAATTAAAAACTAATAATTTAATCATTTAAAATGTAAAAAACTACATTTTTAACATAAAATGCAATTATTTTAAATTTTATACTTACAGCAATATATATATATATATATATTGTGTGGTGTATAACCTTATTATGATATAAAATTACTTATGCCGTGATATATAATTCTGACCATACAAGTATTGTTACTGTTTACTAAACCTAAAATAGTTTTTTTAAATGCGTTAACTGATATAAAGATAAAATAAAATGAAATGTAAATATGTGAACGAAAATTTGGAAATGTTCCTTTCGCAAAAAACATAAGTTAAATAACGCTGCCTTTGGAGATAAAATAAGTTTGAGTTGAAGTACTAAAGTTACTATAAATAACACTGAAAAAGGCTATTAAAAATGACAAAAACATCAAATTACTAAAACTTAAATTCAAAATTAAAATGAAAACTAAAAAAAATATATATATAAAAAGCTAATTTAGAATATTAATAAATACTGTAATAATAGCTATATAAATAATACTAAAATAACACTGGACCATACGTTATAGTGATAGATCATGACCATTTTTGAATTTCTGAATGACCAATTTTTGCAGCATAGTTTCAATAAATGATGTGGGCAGACATGAGAGAAAGCTTTGTATTAATATGAGCATTAAAGTATGCCCATTTGTATCTGACTTTTATTGTAAAAGAGCAACTCAAATTAAAATAAGTTCAACTTTTTAATAAACGCTTCTCGAGACCTTGCATTTTTTCCCCATTCCACTGGCCAACGCAGCACAAAATGCATTCTGAAAAACAGTAGCCATTGAATTCCATAGTATGGAAAAAAAATATTATGGAAGTCAATGGCTACCAACATTCTTCAAAATATCTTCTTTTGTGCTCAACAGAAGAAAGCAACTCATGCAGGTTTGGAACAACTTGAGTGTGAGTAAATGATGGCCGAATTTTCATATCGCTTTCCTTTATATCCCTTTAATGCAACCAAAACGGTCCAGATTCTGTGATCGGCTCTCCCTCCCTCACCTGTGGGATGCTATGAGGGAATTCCAGCTGCTGAGAGAGAGACTTCCTGTTGCCGTAAAAGCCTGCGGTGGCGTGGGCGGGACACGGGAACAGCTCTGGCGTCTTCATAATGATGGTATCCAAGTCTCCGATCCAGTACGGGTGAACGCCTAAAACCATGTGGATATGTGAAGTTACATAAGACGTGCTCTCGATGTTGGACGATGTGAAAAAGCATGTAAGCATCAGTGTAGCAAGAGTACGGCATCATATGTTTATGTTCAGGAGCGCAAAAACATGTGTTCGCATCTTCTGTGCGAGGTTCTCAAGAGATTAAGAAGTTAATGAAGAGGCTGCTATTCTTCAGTGCATTGGGATTAGCCCAATTAAATGAGACTATAAAAATAAATTCTGAGAGATTCATTGGGATAGTGTTATGACTCTTGCATTGAGTTAAAGGTGTCTTGAGTTGGCTTCTCTGCTGTGTTCGTGCAGGTTTGTCTCACTGGTGGAGTTGGAGCGAGATCTCTTGCAGGACGTCTCTTGGCAGCTCTGATCCTCGTTGTCGCAGTTCTTGCCGTCATCGTCTGATACCTTAATAACTGGCATCTGCAAACACGCACATGGTATTAGTATGCTAGAAGAAATAGTATTCTAGAAATCACTGATGTACACTGTATTCTTTATACAGTTATAGATACTGTATTTCAGTGTGTTTAACAGTGGAAAGGACTGCATTGCATTTTGGTGTTAAAAAAAATGGATTAATGCAAAAATACATAATTGGATTTGTCCCAAACACTTCTTGGATTATCCTAAAAATTATCACATGGCTATTTAATAAACTCTTCTTAATAAAATGATAAGCACATATAAAGTAAAGTAAGTTATATTGTAAAATCACTGCAAGTAACTGTAATTGTATTTCTTGTAATTGTATTTATATCTCACATGTGCAAATTTATTTCTCATAAATGTGACTTTATTTCTTGTCATTGCTACTTTATATCTCACAGTTGGGACGCTATTCTCTTGCAACTTTGTTTCTGGTAACCATGACAATATATTTTACAATGCGCCTATACTAACATTCAGAAGTTTGGGGTCAGTAAGATTTGTTTTTAAAGATATTAATCATTTTACTCGGCAAGAATACGATTTGTTTTCAAAGATATTAATACTTTTATTCAGCAAGGATGCATTAAATTAATCAAGAGTGATAAAGTGAGACATTAATAATGACATTTATAATGTTACAAAAGGTTGTATTTCAAATAAATGCTGCTCTTTTGAAGAATTCTGATGTGTGTGTGTGTCTGTGTGTGTGTGTGTGTGTGTGTGTTTGTGTTTGTGTTTGTGCGTGTGTGTGCGTGTGTGTGTGTGTGTGCATGCGCGCGCGTGTGTGTGCGTGAGTAATGTTTCTTGAGCAGCAAATAAGCATGTTAGAATGATTTCTGAAGGATCATGTGACACTGAAGACTGGAGTAATGATGCTGAAAATTCAGCTTTTCATCACAGAAATAAATTCCATTTTAATGTGTATCCAAATAGAAAATAGATATTTTAAATTGTAATAATATTTCATAATATTACTCTTTTTACTGTGCCTTTCTTCAAATAAATGGATAATTGATGAGCATAAGAGACTTTAAAACCAAAAAACAACAACTTTTGAACCATTAAAAAAACCTTTCTGACCCTAAACTTTCAAACTGTAAATATCTCAAAATATGACTTTTTTAATAAGAAGAAATAAGATATAAATAAGGCAGAAACTGGCATACATAACATATCCATTTCAGTCATACCGCCCACCCCTCTTTCGAAACACAACATATGACCCTAATTAAGCTAAAGTTCACAAAGATCACTCTGAACCTGAGGATTTTCCAGCTGAAGGGAAAAACAGGGTTTGCTCCTCACCTTCAAGTTATTGTTGTTTCCCATTGCCTCCTTTTCTCCATAAGTGTAGCCAAGCTGGTCTGACTCATTGACATTAGCGAACAGAGCTCTGCCTTCACATGGAGAGAAACCCTGCAGTACAGACAACAGATAAACATGCTACGATTCTCCTCAAAATCTGAATGGATCATACCGAAAACCCTGTACCATTCTGTGTCTCTTTTTCCATCCGGAATTAAATTAGTTTCTGCTGCATCTGGGATCTGCTCAGTGTCTTGAATGGATTCTGTGTTGGTTAGAGTCTGTTTAATCACATTTGACTTGTGCATTTCAGATCTGCTTGAAGAGAGGTCGAACCAAGTATGCTTAGCTGGTTATGTGCTGTTTGCTAAGGTAAGCATCCCTATTACTATTTTTTATACTTTAGGTCAGTGATTTGAAGAAACCATAATTGATTATAACTTGTCTCACACCATTTGCGCAACAGATTATACCTCAAATCATGTCGCTTTTGGAAGAGAAGTATATTTTTATTTTTCTAAGTGATCAGACATACAATTTTCATCTGGCATATGAGAACGGCTGAAATAATCCCATATTTTACATTGAAAAAGGACCCAAGCCATATCTAGCAAATTTATGGTGGGCTCTTTCGACTGACGCCAGTAAATACCCACCTAGCAACAACCTAGCAACCACACACAACACTCTGGAATTATGGCGATAAAGTTTCCCATATGGCAAAAAAAATTAAAAACTGGCCAAAATGTATTTAAATTTATGTTTTAAACATTGACGCTCAATGAAATATATCTTTTAAAAATTTAAATATATTTAGTTTCAACCTTCATATACAAAAATATATTTCAAAATATATTTCAGGGGCAAGAAAATACATTTCTAATCATTAAATAGAAAATACATTTCTAATTACAGTAGCCTTCATTTAAAACATAAATGGAATAGCCAAGCAGAGATCAAACCCAGATTCATAATGATTTAATAATTCACAGTATATATATATATATATATATATATGTATATCACTCGAGTACGAGAGCGATACCGGCTCTAATATTTTGGGGAACATTGTGTTATAGACAACAAATTAAGTTTTTCTTTAAATGTGAGATATGTATTTTCTTGAACTAAAATAATGTATAGAGGGCAAAAGATATGCTTTTAAAATATATACATTAAAAATGGCCAAAAATATATTTTATTAGAAAATATATTTACATATATTTTAAAACATATTCTAACAAAAATATTTGGCTATTTAAGGGTATATTTTAAGTATGTTTAAAAAAAATAATAATAATAATAAATTGACATGGGTTTGCATTGACAGTTTCTTCAATTAATGTAAACCTCATGAAAATTGTTGACATTCATTCTTTTTCTTTTTGTAAATGTTTATCTTGTTTGAGTAAACATAACATATCTTTGCTTAACTCCATAGCAAAAAGGTTAACTTTACTGAAAAGTATCAAGCAGTGATTAAAACGGTTTATAAGACTTATAAGAGTTCCTACATTTTTCCAAAGCAGTCAGTTTCATGATATTTTTGAAGTTCACTGATTAGTTTAAGTATTTCTGTAATATGGCTAATTGAATCCATTCTCAACTAAACAGCACGCTCATTTTGTTGGATATTTTTTTTAATTAAACAAGAACAATAGATGGTTTGTTCAGAGAAATAAACTCCTGGTTTTTGCTGTCAGAGGCATAGCTGAGTTTGTAGGAGTGTAGGAGTTATTTGGGATCTCGGCTGGTCGTCTGACATTTTCAGGATGCTTAGAATAGACGTTCATCTATCCCAACCCACAGAACTGGCCTCAGATCAGATCAGAGGAATGTTTTTATGTTTTTAATAGACAAACAGCTGATAAAGTCTTACTTCAGTGCTGGTGGTTCTACAAACAGTCTTCAGCACAGGCCTTTTCTCTGGATCAGCCTCCAGTTTTCTTTGATTATTTATAATCTGTCCGTTAAATGGGGCAAGTCTGTCTCCAAAGTAGATATAAGTGTCCCTAGAGACAGAAAACAACAGAATATGTGCATTAAGGCACTTACGTTCATGCTGTTATATGCAGAGAGCTGTGTGTATGTGTGGTGTATGTTTAGACACATGCATTTTTCATGGGAACATGTGAATAGGACATTTGTTAGAGCGTTCAACAGTAAGGATGGACTAATGGACCAGTGTCAGTGTGGGTCTTATTTAAATGATTTAAGTGTTTTCTTTTATTATTATTAATATTTTACTACTACTACTTTTGCTACTACTACTACTACTACTAATATGCATTATTGTTATTATTATTATTATTATTAATAAACATTCTATTACTTTTAATTAATGAAAATGTATTTATAATAATATTATTATAATTATTTTTATTGAATGTAAATAATTTTATTTAGAGTTCCACCATACAATTCATTTATTATTATTTAATTAATTAGCATTTTAATTTGTTTTAATTAATTACAGTTTATAAAAAATACAGTTTTAATCATTTTTATTTAATTTAAATAATTTTATTTAGAGTTCCTCAATACACTTCATTCATTATTTTTATTCCTATTATTATTTAATTTTTTTATTATTGAACATTTTAATCACTTTAAAATATTACATATTATTAATAAATAATATTTAACTTTTAGCAATAAAAGTTATTGTTTGTATATTTTTCTTGTGTGTGAAAAAAAAAATTGGATTTATTTTGAAAAAATGTTCACTCATAAATAATTACAAAGAAACCACAAGTAACACATTAACAGAAAGATGAAATAAACAATGAAATAGTAAATTTTTGTAAAACATACACCAATTATCTTCTTTTTTTTTTTTTTTTTTTTTTTTTTTTTCAGTTTTTTAATTTAAAAAAAAACATGCAAGGAAACGGTAGTAAAAATGTGTAAAAATTGGTATGTCTTAAAGTGCCGCTATTATGGATTTTTGAAAATTACCTTTATTTTGTATTAACTATAAAAAATGCTTCAGTGAAATTACCTGCTCTTATTGTTGAACCCTGTGTTTGGACGACATATAAAGCAGTCTAAATGAGCTGATTATTACCTGTGTAAATCTCGTCCAACAGTAGCACCATTGTTGCCGGACTGAAGTTTATCACCCACTTGTAGACCCTCCTCCCGCGTGGCGACACACATTCTCCAGAAACTGCTTTCCTGTTTCAGAGGAGCCATCAGATCGGTCAGACAAGGCACTACTATTCCTTCATATAAAAAGAGTTGTTAACAACCAAAAAAATCTACGGTTTGACAGCTGATGTAAATGTGACCATAACAGCTCTGCTTTATTAGACCATGAACCACATCAGTGTCCTTTACTGGCCCTACTATAAAGAGCTGCAATGTTTCACAGCATTAACTAGATGAGTAATAAAGAGCAGCATAGGCTTGTTTTACCAGGGTAACTTCATATATGCAGGGCTTAGGAAACAAAAATCCTCATGATCAAAACTGTCAAGTGCTTGTAAAATCTTCAGTCCCACTTTTGCTGGAAATACCATACTAACATACTCATACTATTTCTGCAGCATGCAGTATGTTTGCTGTGCACAGTATGCGAATGTTCTGCGAATGCATGAAATATTCACATGATCAATTGCGAAACACTGTATCCCACAATGCAATATGGTTGACTTGACCTTTCATTTTCAGTGTGATGAATAAATCATTTGGCTGCATCTTGATGTTATTTCACCTTAGTGCTAAGGATACCTGGTTACACTTTATTTCGATAGTCCACTTTAGACATTATACTAACTATAAGTAACTTTGTAACTACATGTCAACTACATGTCAACTAATTCTCATTAATTTGCAACTACATGTCTACTAACTCTCAGAGTAGACTGTTAGGGTAGGTTTAGGGTTAGTAGAATAAGTTGACAAAGAAAGTGTTAGAAGATATTAAGCAGACAGTCTACTAATACTCTACTAACTGCTAGTTGACATGTAGTTGCAAAGTTACATACTGTTATTAGAATGTCTAAAGTGGACTATCAAAATAAAGTGTTACTGGATACCTTACCTTATACCTTATTAAAAATACAAAATTATATATATAATTTTGTATTTTTAATAAACGACAGCGATGCCTGAATAGATATATCTATAGATATAGATTTATCCATACATATAGATATATCTATAGATATAGATTTTTAAAATACCATACAGCAGGGGTCGGGAACCTTTTTTTTTTTTCTTCTTTTTTTTGACCATGGAGCCTTTTTATTTGATTTATTTTTCACTTATTTATTTCTTTGTTTTGTTTGTTTTCATTTTTGGTTAATGTATTTTTTTCCAAAAGAGCCACAGTAAAAATGATAAAATATTATAAAAATAAATAAATACATAAAAAAAAATCGTATCGCAATGTGAGTTGAGTGAATCTTTACATCCCTAGTTATAATGAATGGATTCACGAGCGTGTACAAAAAAAAAGCCTTTTGAGCAGTGAGTGGATTGTAATTAACGCCTCTGATTGGCCATTGCGTTTAAGAAATCAACAGATATGTCTGTGATAATACAGTATGTGAGACAGATTGTTTCAAAGCAGTTTCACATGAATAAACTGGAAAATAGTGTTAATATTGTAAGTGGCATTATTCAGCTCAGTTTAATTCAGTGTTGTTTTTACAATGTTTGTTGTTCTGGTCTTACATAATTACTTTTAGATTTTACATAGATTAATTTCCACAGTCTGTCATATGAGCATAGAGTTTTAATTTTTATAAAATTATTTAATTTTTAAACTTTATTGTGTGTGTGTGTGTGTGTGTGTATTAAACAATAGATTGAAACATATAATTATATTATAAATATATAATATTTAAACAAATATATGCAGTATATATTTTATATTTTTTCTGCACAACTTACTCACAGAATGTGATACAACATACATTAAATTACTTTTTATTGCAATGTTATTATTGCGGCATCATCTATTTAATAATTTTAATGTTCTTTCCTTATGCCTTTTTCTTTGTTTTGCAATGTGCTTCATAATAAACAAACTCGCCTTACTAATTTATGAACACTTCAGTGACTGGCAGATGTTTTCTTCTATGCAATCCAATGCAACACCTGAGCTATAAAGAGGTTTCACTACTTTTAATTCATTCATGAATTAGACCAAAACTGTTCCTTTTTAAGTCTGCTAAATGCATAAATGTAAGTGTTAAAACATCTATAGCTACCCAGAAATATTCACATTTGGAAAAAGAGTGATAGAAACTTAAATGCAGGCCTTTCTAAATCTGACAGAAGTTCATTCTATCGGTGCAGCGCACTTCTGTGATGTCATCAGATGCAACCAATAGGAAAACCCAGCTGCTGTGATGTCATCAGTAACACATACCTTGATGGAGAAGGACCTCCTCATAGTTCTTTTGGGGCCCTCTTGGCCCCTTTGAGGTGCCTGGACGCTGACACTCCTCGTCATGCACTTTTCCGAATTTCCCATCGGCCCTTCCTGCGGGTCCCTGCGGTGTTTCTCCTCCAACCCGGCGTCCCAGGGCTCATGGTACCTCTCTTCTGGGCTGGACGCGTCCTCATTGGTGCTGGAGCTGCAGATGATGAGCGACCGTGACAGGATGGCCAGTTTCTTGGAGCGCGGTCCCGGTTTGCCCCTCTCCATCCTCTTGGTTCTCCTCCTGTGATGCTGCTGCTGGTGGTGGGTGTTTCTCAGAGGCAGGATGGCCACAGAGGGAGGTTCTCTCCCAGGATGCATCACTGCTAATGGAGGGGGCCGCTCTGCAGACGAGAGCAATTAGAAAATTCAGTTAGGAGTCCGTTCTTCCATCCTCCCGTGCCCTTAGTGTTCTCAGAAATCACAGAGGCTACAGATAAGAGCGCTTTTCTTCTCTGATCCATGACGGAGGAAAAAAGAGAAAGTATTGCCCCATGACTGAGACTTTTTAATGTGTGCATTCAAAATCAGGGAAATACACAACTGAAATGGATTGCACAGACATGAAGGGATAGTTAACCGGAAATAAAAAATAAAGTAAAATAAAAATGGAAATAGAATAGAATAGAATAGAAAATGCTGTCATTATTTACTCACCCTCATGCTGTTTTAATTCCAAACGGTAAAAAAGTTGTAAATAAAACAAAAAAATATTATTTCAATCTTTATACACTGTAAAAAAAAAAGTATTTTTTAAAAGTTGCAAATAAAGATAGCTGAAGTACATTTTAAAAGAAAATACTATTTTAGTCTTTCTACTTAAAAAATGCACATTTTATTCAATGTTACTTGCCGTTTCTTTGTAATTGTTTGTGAAATTTACTAGCAATTTCTGAGTGAAAACGGTTTATACACCAACATTTTTCAACGTACTTCAAAATTGTGCATTTAATTCAGTTATTTGCCATACCTTTGTATTTATTTGTGAAATTTACTAGCAATTTCTGATTGAAAATTGTTTCAAAGTAATGCTGCACAATTTTTTCCCCCAGTGCATATGCTGTTATTGTTTTTCACTGAAACACAGAAGAATGCATCATGCAGCTCTTTCTCAGACAAACGATCGTTCAATGTGACAGAGTCTTCAAAAAGGACAAAAAAAGCATAGAACTTTTTTCATCCTTTTTGGAGTTTGACAGATATAATCTGTTGTAAAAAAAAAAAAAAAAAAAAGCATAAAGATAGTTCAAACTCTTCCTTTTGAAGGAAAAAAACTGCATCATGCAGGTTTGGACTGACTTGAGGGTTAGCAAATAAAGATCGAAATTTTATTTTTGGTTGAACTGCCCCTTTAAGACATTTTGATTTTGGCTCATCATTTAAATGTAAGATTATCATATGCAATCTAATCATGCAAATCTCTCATATGCAAACAGAAATATAATCATTATTATGAGTACAATATTCAGGGGTTTAAACCTAATGGTTTTGTTGTTTTCTTTCCTTACAGGCATGACAGGATCCGTCATGCATTATAAATGACTGGCTGCACATACATTACCAGTCATGTGAGATGAGCTCATATTCATGCTGACATGAGGGAATATACTGTGACTGCTGGCGTCTAAATTGTGATGTACTTTGCTGAGAATGAAGTCATAGTCACCTGGTGGTGATAGTGAGCATTACTGCACCACAAAGAGAAGATTTCATGTGCAACATGTCATGACCTCTCAGATATTCATGCATTATGAAGACCTTTTGTGGTATTGTCTGCAAGAACCTTTGGGGTCTGAGACTCAACAGATTGATTCAGTCGGGACAGTCAGTTAGGAAACTTCCTGCATTGGAGTCAGCAGTTGTTTGCTAATATTGCTCCTATATTTACTTCACAGATGTCACTCAAGTTTTGAAATGGGAGGGGCGGTACTACAGACAGATCATGTAAATAATATGTGACAAATACTTTATCATGGTAGGATTCATCAAATTCACTCATTTTATGCTTCAGGCCTTGTAAATGTACCACACCGACTTGCCATTGACATACAATATCACAGTTCATTTATTTCGGTGAACTATCCCTTAACTATATTCTGAGGCCAATATATTGTCATAACACATTCTCGCCATCATCTGTCAAACATTTATTTGACATTTAATCCACACTTTTACATCAATCACTTATATGGAAAGACGTTACACTCATTCAGACTGCTCATATGAGAATTAAAACATTTCCCCTGTTATGGGAACCACAAATTAACCATGCTTGCTACACTAACCATGGTTTAACCATGGTATTTGTAGTAAAATTATAAATGGTACTCAATACGCCAAAAAAAACATGGTTACTGGCCTACACTTTTACTATAATAAAACCATGGTTAATTCTCGTAAGGGACAAATTCGTCAAGTCACTTCTTCTTCTTCACTTCACTTTAAACACTACATTGCCCAGCTGCTCCTTTGTTTTCTCTGGCACTGGTTGCCACATAAAGTCCCAACTTCAAATACTGACAAATGACTCCAGCGTCCACAAAGTGTTCTAAGGTTCTGGTGCTGCTGAAGTTTGATAGGGTAATTAGTCTACCGAGAGAGCTTTGTCTGGGCTCGTTAGCAGCTTGGATCCTAATGCAATGAACAGTGTGGCTCTTTTCCAACACCTAGTGAGCTGCCTACCTACAATATACGGCATTTAAAGTCATCATAGACGTGCTGCTTGTGTGAAGGATGTTCAGAAAGGTAGGCGGAATGATTATTCACAAGTCATTCTGTCTCGTGTCAAAGAGAAACGCGAGTCAAGACACTAATGCTGCATGCACGTGCTGTCGGAAATTTCCTATTTCCCACTTATGAAGTCGTGATTATGAGTTCGTCGCATTCAAGTGCTTTGTTGTCGGAAAGAATAAAATGCAGCATCCCATTGGTTGACAAGTTACCAATGGGATATAAAGATTCATCGCGCTAGACAGTCAGCTTGCTGATGAATTTCGGTCAAATGCATGCTTATTTCACGGTTTATAAAACATACAATATGCTTCAATGATTCTTCACATATAGCCTCTAAATATGCACTACTTTAGCGACAAGGTGATGTAGTTGTTGTGGAAAAATCTAATAATGAATAGCACTGACAGTTGTCGTTATGGTTGTCCCCTCCACCATGTTTATAGTTTATGGCCCGCCCAGTAGTAAATACGACTCGAGAGGCCGTTCACGTCCAATTTCCGATTAGGAAATTGGTATTTAAGATAATTCCGATAGCATGTGAAGGCAGCATAAAAGGACGCAGTCTGTAATTTTAAAGTTTGGATTTATCTTTTAAAGGGGTCATAGGATGCTACATGCACTTTTACAAGTTGTTTGAACTGAAATGTGTGTTGGCAGTGTGTGTACACAACCACCCTATAATGATAAAAATCCACCCAGTGTTTTTTTTTTAATCTGGTTAAATGTTTTCCCCTTTCTCAAATCGAGCCGATCTCAGATGCCTGTCTGTGTGACGTCACAAAAACAGGCCCCTCCCACGATAGTTTGACAGACTGGACTGGCGTCTTACCTTAGCTCCGCCCTGAGTGAGCTGTCATCAGTCCATCATTGTTTCACCGCCGGAGCAGTTGTAGACAAGAATGACTCCTAAGCGATTGAGGTGTTCTGTTGTTGGATATAATAATGAACATAGCAGTCGTCATTTACTCCTGA